GTTCAGTATGGAGTCATCAATTAACTTCTTATTTTTTCCCCAAAGTCTCAAAAAATAGACAACTAATATTTATAAATACAAATAAAAGATAATTTTAAAAAGCAAACCATGCCAAATCTTATACACAATAGAAAAAGAAGAAATACTTCAAAATCATTCTGCTTAATCTGGATACACCTGATAATAAAATTGGAAAAAATACATTATTATAAAGGGGAAATTACAAACATAATTCACTTTTAAATGAGGATGGGGTATCCTGTATCCTAAACAACATATTAACAAGTTGAAGTAAAAATTAATGTTTAAGTGATACACTTTAGTCAAAATCAAATCCAATTTATGTGAGAATTAGTTACTATTTTTTTTCTTGTCTTTACCCTCACCCCCTCCCTCCTCTGTCTGCTCACCCCTTCCCCCATGTCCCATCATGTCATTAATTGCCTTTAATTGTCCTCATATCATAGTTGAATACATAGGATTCATACTTCTCCATTCCTGTGATGCTTCACTAAAGATGATGTGTTCCACCTCCATCCAGGTTATTAGAAATGCTATAAAATCTCCATTTTTTTAATAGGTGGATAATAATCCATGGTATACATATACCACAGCTTGCCAATCCATTCCTGGGTTGAAGGGCATTTAGGCTGTTTCTACATTTTAGCAATTATAAATTGGGCTGCAGTAAACAGCCTGGTACAAGTATCTTTATAATAAAAGGATTTTTCTCCTTTTGGGTGGATGACCAGTAATGGGATTGCAGGGTCAAACGGGAGGTCTAGGTTGAGTTCTTTGAGGTTTCTCCATACTTCCTTCCAAAAAGGTTGTATTAGTTTGCAGTCCCATCAGCAGTGCAAAAGTATTCCTTTTTTACCACATCTGCGCCAGCATCTGCAGTTTTGAGGTTTTGTGATATAGGCCATTCTCACTGGGGCTAGGTGATATCTCAGGGTGGTTTTAATTTGCATTTCTCTAATAATTAGGGATGATGAGCATTTTTTCATGTATTTGATAGCCATTTGTCTATCTTCTTTAGAGAAGGTCCTGTTCATCTCTCTTCCTCATTGATGTATGGGATTGTTGGGTTTTTTCTTGTGGATTAATTGAAGTTCTCTATAGAACCTAGTTTTTAAACTTCTGTCTGATTCAAAATATGCAAATATCCTTTCCCATTGGGCAGGTTGTCTGTTTACTTTGGCTGTTGTCTCCTTAGCTGTACAGAAGCTTTTTAATTGAATTAAATCCCATTTGTTTATTGTCGTGGTTGTTGTTACTGCCATGGCAATCTTCTTCATAAAGTCTTTCCCCAGGCTGGTATCTTACAGTGTTTTTCCTATTCTTTCTTTGAGGATTTTTATCGTTTTATGCCTTAAATTTAAGTCCATTATCCATCTTGCATCAATTTTTGTGAGTGGAGAAAGGTGTGGGTCCAGTTTTAGTCTTTTACTTGTGGATATCCAATTCTCCCAGCACCATTTATTGAACAGGGAGTCTATCCCCCAGTGGACATTATTGTTAGGTTTATAGAAAATTAGGTGGTTCGGCTTGGCGCCTGTGGCTCAATCGGCTAAGGTGCCAGCCACGTACACCTAAGGTGGCGGGTTCGAATCCCCAGCCCGGGCCCGCCAAACAACAATAATGGCTGCAACCAAAAAATGGCTGGGCATTGTGGCGGGCGCCTGTGGTCCCAGCTACTTGGGAGACGGAGGCAGGAGACTCGCTTGAGCCCAGGAGATGGACGTTGCTGTGAGCCGTGAAGCCATAGCACTCCCCCCAGGGGGACAGCTTGAGGCTCTGTCTCAAAAAAAAAAAAAAAAGAAAGAAAGAAAAAGAAAATTACGTGGTTCTAAGTTGCTGGTTTCATTTCCTGGTTTTCTGTTTGATTCCAAATGTCTATGTCTCTATTTTTGTGCCTGTACCATGCTGTCTTGACCACTATGGCCTTGTAGTGCAGCCTAAAATCTGGTACGGTGATACCCCCGGCTTTGTTTTTATTACTAAGAACTGCTTTAGGTGTACGGGTTTTTTTCTAGTTCCATACAAAATGCAAAATCATTTCTTCCAAGTCTTGAAAATAGGATGTTGGTATTTTAATAGGGATGGTGTTGAATCGGTAAATTGCTCTGTGAATTATAGACATTTTAACAATGTTGATTCTTCCCAGCCATGAGCATGGTATGTTTTTCCATTTGTTAAAGTCCTCGGCTATTTCCTTTCTTAAGATTTCATAATTTTCTTTATAGAGGTCCTTCACCTCTTTTCCTAAGTATTTCTTTTTCTTTGGGACTATACTAAAGGGAGTTCTGCCTTTAACCTCTCATCTTGGCTGTTGTTGGCATATACAAAAGCAACTGACTTATTGACATTAATTTCATATCCTGAAACATTACTGTATTTTTTAATGACTTCCAAGAGTCTTGTGGTTGAGACTTTAGGGTTCTCTAAGATCATATATATCATCAGCAAAGAGGGAGAGTTTGACCTCTTCTGCTCCTATTTGGATGCCCTTTATTTTCTTGTCTTGTCTAATTGTATTGGCTAGAACTCCCAGCAGTATGTTGAATAGTAATGGTGACAGAGGACAACCTTGTCTGGTTCCAGTTCTAAGAGGAAAAGATTTCAGTTTTACTCCATTCAGTAAAATATTAGCTGTGGGTTTGTCATAGATAGCTTAGATCAGTTTAAGAAATATGTCATCTATGCCTATATTCCTCAGTGTTCTAATTAGAAAGGGATGCTGGATTTTATCTAGTAACCTCAGTTGAACAATATGAACAATATAGAAAGGATATAGCAGAGCTGAAGGAACTGAAGCAGTCAATTAGGGAATTTAAGGGTACAATAGAAAGTATCAACAACAGATTAGACCATGCAGAAGATAGAATCTCAGATAGTTAACTGAGATAACTCAGATAGTTAAAGAGGCAGAAAGGAAGAGAGAGAAAGCAGAATGTTTACTGACAGAATTATGGGACTCTGTGAAGCATTCAAACATATGAGTTATAGGCATCCCTGAGGGGGAAAAAGAATGCCCCAGAGGAATGGAAGCCATTCGAGAGAACATTATAAATGAAAACTTCCCAAATATCACCAAAGATTTTGACATACTCCTTTCAGAGGGCTATTGGTCCCCTGGTCACCTCAACTTAAATAGAGCTTCTCCAACACACATTGTGATGAATCTATCTAAAGTCAAGACAAAAGAAAAGATTTTGCAAGCTACTAGGAGTAAGCGCCAACTGACCTACAGGGGCAAATCTATCAGGGTGACCACAGACTTCTCTAATGAAACTTTTCAAGCCAGAAGACAGTGGTCATTTATCTTTAATCTACTTAAGCAGAACCATTTCCAGCCCAGAATTCTATATCCCACTAAGTTAAGCTTTAAAATTGATGGAGAAATCAAATCTTTTATTGATATGCAAACACTGAGGAAATTTGCCACAACAAGACCAACATTACAGGAAATATTTGAACCTGTTGTACACACTGACCATCACAGTGGACCTTCAGCAAAGTAAACACCCAGAAATTAAAAGATAGAACCTAGTTTCCACAAAGATGCAAAAGACAAAACTAAACAATGGACTCTCACAAAATAAGATGACTAGAACACTACCACACTTATCAATTATGTCAATAAATGTCAATGGCTTGAATTCCCCACTGAAGAGGCACAGATTGGCTGACTGGATTAAAAAACACAAGCCATCTATTTGCTGTCTGCAGGAAACACACCTCACAAAAGACAAATTAAAAGTCAGAGTTAAGGGGTTGGCAGTCAATTTTTTAGGCAAACAATTCAGAAGAAAAGAGGGGTTGCATTCTTACTTTCAGATACATGTGGATTTAAAGCAACCAAAGTCAAAAAAGACAAGGATGGTCACTTTATATTGGTCAAGGGAAAGTTATAAAATATTTAATGTAGGAAAGATTAATACCTTTCATATATAAAGAGCTCTTCTGAGCAATAAGAAAAGACAACTGTCTCAATAGAAAAGGGGCAAAGACAAAGAATATGTTCTTGTAAAGAAAAAATGCAGATGGCCAATAAAATTCAGCTTTCTATAGCAGTTAGGGAAAAGAAATGCACTTATGATGATAAAAGTATAAATTGGAGGGGTCTTTGTAGAGGATTTTATCAATTTGTGTCAAAAACTTTAAAAGTAATTGCTTACCTTGGAAAGAATTTCTTCTGGGAGAGAAGGTAAGAAAGTAAAGATGGTTGTAGATGGAGAGGAGTTCAGTTGATAAGAGCTTACTTGAACCAGCTTTGAAAAGCAGATGATGTTGCAGTGAGGTGTGGAACCTTGTTGGGAGCCTGTAAAAAAGCAAGCAGCTTTACATACAAATCCAGTCAGCAGCAGTCTCGCGCTTGCAGGTAGGTAGCATAAATGTATAAGCAGAGCATGTGGTTTTGTGACTTTTTCTAGTAATAGTAAATAGATCAGAAGTTGGAGTGAAGAAAATGACTCGAGTGAGTGCAAAGGAACACATGGGCTATAAGATTCAATCCAAGGAGGTCTTGACTCATTCTGCTCATTCCGGGTCCCCCGGGTGTATGCATGGCCACAGAAACAAGGAGACTCACATATACAGCTGGAACTCCTATGTCTCACTACCCCAGTACACCCTCTTTTTCTGTGCTGTCTGCAATAGGAACTAACCGAAGAAGTACATGTTTCCAGAATGACTAGAATCAATTCCAAGTCCTATCTCTGATAAATTGTGGCTCCTGAAGTTGCCCGTACAAGGTCTTATTTAATTAGAGCCTAACCCCTAACTTCAATAAGCACATTTTTAACCTTTCCACAAACTAAAATCTGTATTAAATGTAAGTCAGAATTAGTTTAACCAGCTAATTGATTGAAGGGGGAGGTGGTTTTTCTTTATTCCAGATTATGATTTTAAATTTGTGATCTCTGCTTCTATCTCAAGAGTTTTTTCTATTGTAGACCAGTAGGGCAAATAGTAAATGTTTCTAATTCTCTTTCCAGGGGGACCTCCTTTCTTGCCAGAAACTTTTGACCGAATTCTTCTTGATGCACCCTGTAGTGGCATGGGACAGAGACCAAACATGGCTTGTACTTGGACTTTGAAGGAAGTGACATCGTATCAACCGTTACAGCGAAGACTCTTCACAGTGGTAAGTGATGAGCCTTTCCTGTAAAGGAGTGTTGACTTTTGCTAGTTTGATGCGTGAACTGTTGAGATTAATGTTCATAGCAGCATTATTTACAATAGCCAGGAGGTGGAAACAACCCCAAAGGCCACTGACAGATAAATGGATAAACCAAGTATGATACATACATACATGGAACATTATTCAGCCTTAAAAAGGAATCACATTCTGATACGTGCTACAACATGGATGAACCTTGAAAATACAATGCTAAGTGATAAGAACCAGACCCCAAAGCACAAGTATTGTGTGATTGTGCTTATATGGGGTAACTAGAAATAGGCAAATTTAAATAGAAGTTACTGGGGACTTGGGGAACGGGAGAATGAAGAGCTTAATGGGTACAAATTTTCTGTTTGATATGATAAAGTTCTGGAGATGGGTGGTGGGGATGGTTTCACAATCTCACAGTATACTTAAAATGGTAAATTGTATGTTACATATATTTTACTACATACACAAGAATTTACACAAAAGATTGAGAAAATTTAGTTGTAAATACAGGGAGTTTTCCTTTATGTTGAGTCACTCTTTAAAATGTAAGGGCAAGAGTAGAATTTCTTCACTGATAGATTTAATAAGTTTCAAACATTCTGCTCTATCCCAGAAATGTTACTGAGTTGTTAACATATAGTTACTAATTGATACAAAGAATTGCATATAAAATTAATCACTTTTTAAAATAAGGTTCCTGGGTCATCTTAAAGGGCAAATTAGGAAGTATAATAGAGGCAAACCCATTGATAAAATTGGAAAATGGCAGGCTGGTGCAGGATAGAAGAACCACGAAAACTGCAAATTTTACCAGTCTCCAGTATGTTTTGGAACAGCGGTTATCAACCCGTGGGTCACGACCCACAGGCACTGTATTAAATGTCCCTGGTATTAGGAAGGTGGAGAACCACTATTTTAGAAGTCCAGATAGAACATTTGACGATTTTGCTCAGTCTTGCAAAAATGACTGGATATCACAGAGTATAAACAACATTTGATCAAAGATGAATTGATTATTTCTTCTCAGCCTTCCAATTATAAAGTCATAGGCTATAGCAGCAGTGGATACTCTGTAATTATTCAGTCTCTAAAGTTGTCTTTGAGTACATTTCTGTTCAGCTGTCCTGATACCTCCTTTCATTCTCAGAGGTAGCACTGGCTGTGGATAATTCAACTTCTTATTTTTCCTAAATAGCCTTCAAAGAACACATCCTTGGAATTAAAAGAGCAAGCAGCAAAAAGGAAGCTTTTCTTATAGTTGAGACACACTTTGACTTGAGGGTAAAATTAGGATTCTGCTGTAAAGGACTTGGCTTTTTGTTCTTTTCAGGTCATAGCAAAAAGGAAAAATTTAAAAGGCTGCTAGGAGTAGATGCAGTCACGATCGCAGTAAAAGGGAACGCTGGCAGTGGTGAGCAGGAGCTTAACAGTGTGGCAGGAGCGCCCTTTGGCCTGGACAGAAATGGAGAATCAGACTTAAGAACCAGGAACGTCTTGATTCCAGCCGTGGCTCATCCACATCAGTGACCGTGGGTGCACAGGCTTTCATGATGGACAACAGCTTGTCCTAATGCTGGGGGTAGTGACTTTACCTCACTGTTGTTAACAAGGATTTATGGAGAAAATCCCTGTAAACTGCACATAGCAACAAAGTAAAATTTGACCAGCATACTGTGGTTTATAAAGCACAAGTAGGCTGGGTGCCATGGCCCATGCCTATAAACCCAGCACTTTGGGAGGACCAGGTGGGAGGATTGCTCAAGGCCAGGAGTTTGAGACCAGCCTGGGCAACACAGCAACACTCTGTTTGTTAAAAAAAACAACAAAAAACAAACACTAGCTGGGCATGGTAGCATGTGCCTGTGGTCCTAGCTACTTGGGAGGCTGAGACAGGAGGATCACTAGATCCCAGGAGTTTGAGGCTATTGTAAGCTTTGATCATGCCACTGCACTCCAGCCTCACAGGGTGAAAGTCTGCCTCTTTAAAAAATAATATAAGCAGAAGAATATACTATATTTTTTAAAATTTTCAATCAAAATTTTTATAGCCGGACATTGTGGCAGGCCCCTGTAGTCCCAGCTACTTGGGAGACTGAGGCAAGAGAATCGCCTAAGCTCAAGAACTGGAGGTTGCTGTGAGCTATGACTGTGACACCACAGCACTCTACCAAGGGCAACAAAGTGAGAGTCTGCCTCTAAAAAAAAAAAATTCATTCAAAATTTTTAAAATATCTGGGTTTGAAAATATAAACTTCAGGTCTTTCAGACAAATCCACTTTAGCATAACACCTTATTTCCTGATACACTTATTTATTACACACATATTCACTGAGCGCCTACTGTATGCAAGACACTATTCTAGATGTTTGACAGTACTGTCCTAAGACAGCAGGGAATGCATGGCCTTATTATGGGGTTTCTGTTCTAGCAGAGGAGGGAAGAATATGTCTAAGCTACTCAGCGTATCATGAGGCAGTAATTCTAGGCCCTGTGGAGCAAAGTGAAGACAGGTAGGGGGCTGGAGGGGGCAGGAGTGCTGCATTGGTACAGTTCCAGGTTTACCTAGGGTTTGGGAAGAGCATGGCTGAAAACACGACACGTGAGTAGAGGAGCATCTGAAGGAGCAAGTGTCTAGAGAATTAGAACTTTCTGCCCTGGTGCCAAGCTCCTGAGGTGGGTGTGTGCCAGGCCAGCAGGCCGCCTGTGTTGCTAATGGAGAGTGAGCAAGGGGAAGAGGTTAGGAGAGAAGGTCAGAAAGGCAAACAGATACTTGGGTGTGTCGGCCTCCGTGGCTTGTGAGGACTTTGGCTTTGACTCTGAGTGATAACGGAGGGCATTTGAAGGGTTTGGGGCTGAGAAGGGACAAGTTTAGAAGGACTGCTCTGGGCGCTGTACTGAGACTGGATCTCAGGAGGGCAGGGAAGGAAGCAGGTAGACTAAGTGGGAGACTGTGCAATAACCCAGGCTTGGACCACGGTGTTAGTGCAAGTGGTGAGAAGTGGCCAATCTGGCTGAGGTTTGAAGGTGGACTCAATAGAATTTCCAGAAGATGGGAAATAGGAGAGAAAGAGAAGCATAAAAGATAGTCTAAGTTTTGGGACGGGAACATCTGGAAGGATGCAAAGATGTCAGTAGGTTTCAGAGAGAAGACAGGAGTTCCTTTGGAGAAATGTCAAAGTGGATAGTAGACATGTTGAGTGGCAACTGAATATTTGAATATGGACTTCAGAAAGGATGTCTGGCCGAAAAATGTAAATCTGAGTTTCAGCCTACAAATGGTATCTAAAGGAATGAATGTGAGTGTGTTTGAGAGAGTCTTGGTCCATATGGATTATGACAGCTCCACAATGGTGAAATGGGTCTACTCTGGGCAAGGATTGTTCTTACGTGCTCTAATTAGAGGCGGGATCCTTACAGAACATCATTGTATTTTTCCCAGATACTAAAAAATGATTGTCCATTCTGCCTTGGAATTCTTCAGGTGTGTATTTGGTCTGTGTGATCTGATCACAGTTTTCTTTAGGCAGTCCAGCTGCTGAAGCCAGGGGGTGTGCTTGTGTACAGCACGTGCACTGTGACGCTGGCAGAAAATGAAGAACAAGTTGCCTGGGCCCTCAAAACTTTTCCTTGCCTGAAGCTTCAGCCCCAGGTAATAATAGTTTCACTTCTTGCTGTGTAATCAGATAAATCACAGAAACAGAAGCAGGTGATAACACGGCATATTACATGAAGAAATGTGTAAGGAAAGCTTCTGAAATGAATACTGTAATATACCATAATGTTTAAGACTGCCCAGAGAGAATTTGTATATGTCCTGACAAAGTTTATTCCTGTCTCTGTTCCTCACCATCCTGTTAAAGTGGCACAGAGCTTGGGTGGATTATGTGTTTATTCCATTTGTAAGCTTGTTACTATTTGTGTTATTTGGCCCTTTCTTTCTAAAAGGTTTTTCTTCTTCCCCTTTCAAATCCTGTGTTTTTCTGCTAAGGGAAATGTGAAGCATTTTTTTTTTTTCATGTCCCATCAAAGCCCAGACAGGCTTTGATAACTGTGAGAGATCAAGAGACCAGCCAGGAGGAAAAAAAGTCGTTCAGGATTACTGTTTCTTTACAATTTATTATATAAACCATGTAACATTTAAGGAGCTTTCTTAAACCTTTTGCCTAGCACTAGTCTAACTTTCTGTTACAGTCTTCATTAACACTATAAGTCAATTTTTAGCCCAGGTCCTTTGAAATTAACTTTAAACCCCAAATAAGGCTTATGTGCATTACATATGTTGAACATCTAGCTGTAGAACTTTCCTATACAGAAAATAGGTAACTGGAATACATAAATAAATGTAAGAGATGGTTTCTAGACTCAGAAATTAAAATAATTAAACTGTAGATGAAGGGAAGACTTCAGACTTACTTTGCAAGTTTGTATACATGTCCACATACATATGTATCTCAGTATAGACGTAAAAGAGATGGAAAGTTTCCCCTTACATTTTCTTAACTATGTGTTAAAACCCGCCTTACTAACATAAAAACATTGGTCTGTGAAATAGTGATTTAAAGTCAGGATTATAGGTCTTTTTCAGTAGTGATTTGCAGGTATCACTCAATTCCTTTTCATTCTTTTCCTTGAAACTAATCGATACAGCCTTAATTTATGTGCCCCTAATATTTGTTCTTATAGTACATGTAAAAACAACAGCCACAAAACTTTTATCATCCAGTTGGTATGGGTCAGGGAGAGGTATCTTAGGTGCCTAACTCCTTTCAGAGTTTCAGATAGTGATAAAGCCGTTTGACCCACCTCTTCCCTGATGATGATGTTCTATTTACTCAGTGCCCAGTGGGTGCCTGTGAAAGGAATGAGACCACCTTCTTTAAGCCTTAGACCTGAGTGTTTTATCTGTTTTTAGCTAACCCAATTTCCTCATCTATAAGTTACTTAAGGTCAAAAGCTAAAATGTAGCAGCAGCTATTGGAGTCCATGTGTTTCCAACTACAGAGCTGAGGCCTGTGTAACTTCATAGTGTTTGATAAGCACTCAGGACAGAATAGGTGACCATAATTCATCACCACCTACTCCCGTTTTCCCACTTCACTGCCCGGAAAACAGCACATATGTGCCACAAAAGTAAAAGGCATTTACTCATTTTTCTATTTTTGGAAGATGTGGTCGTTATAACACAAAGTGTCTTTTAGCTTAAATTGCAGCAGGCGTACTTACTAATTACAGGACGTTCCTCCACAGTTATTCACTTTCTCCAAACAGGAACCGCAGATTGGAGGAGAAGGGATGCTGGGAGCTGGCCTGTCATTTGAACAATTGAAACAGCTGCAGCGATTTGATCCATCTGCTGTGCCACTGCAGGACACTGACCTTGACTCTCTGAGAGACGCCGCAGCAGAAGACATGATGAGACTGGCAAATAAGGATTGTATAGGTTTTTTCATTGCAAAATTTGTAAAATGCAGAAGCACGTAGGAGGAGGACATTTCTGGGTTGTTTTCTTTTTTTTTCTCTTTTTAAGCCAAAGTGTTGTCAGGCCAACTGAGCGATGGCGTGGTTGCTAAGGAAACAAATGGCTGCCAGCTGTTTCACCAAGATCAAGAGATAGAGGAAGAAGGGAGTTGTGGGAAATGATATTTTGTGTTTTTTAAATGATGTTTTCTTTATAGGTTTAGTGGAGTATGAAGAAGAGAAGATGTCTATAGATGTCTGGAACATATTTTCATTTGGGGTCTAGTATTTATAAAAAAGACAAGTCATTTTGTAATGTTAAAAATTAGTGAATCTAACAAAAGGAATAAATTAGCCATATTTAATGTGGTTACAAAAAATAATTGTTTTCTGTTCCCAAGTTCCTATGAATTCCTCGAATTCAGGACACCTGAAGTATACTATTTACTATGTACCAACAACTGAGGTAAATATTTCACCTTAATCTCTGCTGCTTATTTGGGACATCAGCCCCTCTTTCAAATGAATTATGAATACTCTTCTAAATGATAGTCTACCTTCCCTACATGTAATTTTGTTCATGGTTTTAAATTAGAAAGTAAAATAATTATTTTCTTTACACTGTAAATTTAAAAAATGACAATATTCTATAATTTGAATACCTTATTTTTTAAAACATGCATAAATTATTAGAAAATGTTTGAAAAAGAGAAAACCAACTTTGGACATGTGGGACCGGCCCTTAGAGCTGGGCCTTGATGTTCTATTGAACATAAACCATTTTACACAAAACCAACATCAGACAAGGCGACTGTGCCTGTGACAGATCCAGACCAAAAAAGACTACTTCACAATCGAATGTGGACCGCGACAAAAAGCAGAGCATCATTGGAACTGCAAAGATGACCATATGGTGGCCAATAGAAGTGACAGCTTTTTAAAAACATCCTTATAGCCTCAGCTTATTTCATTCACTGTGGCTTTTTAGATAAGACTAAAATACCCAGCACCCAACCAGAGTTTAAAGGCTGGTTCCTGTAGTGGTCATTAACATCCAACTGTTCTATTAGCTCACCCTGAACCTACCTGCCCTAGGCCAATGCAATGCATAATTGGCAACTATTGCCTAATAAGTTTGATTTCTCTTTTCTCCCTCATAGGTTTCCTTTGGGAATTCCTCCTAACTGTCACTGTGTCTTTATGACTGCAAGGTCTCTTGGATCAGGTAAGACTCCTACCTGGAGAAGCCTGGCTGAAACACGCTTCCCTGAAGTTGTTAGGCGCCCCTCCCTGGGTGCCAGTCCCAGTCTCTGTTGGTCTCCCAGCAGTGAACACTCTTCTCATTCAAATTTACTAGCCTTGCCCTCTAACCTCCCCCCCACCCCCAATCACATTTGGGAAACACCCTGGAGGCTTCAGAGCAGGTAGTCAGTAAATGTTATCAAATGAGAGAGAAATGATTTCAACCACATGTGTGTGTTTTTGATGTCCCTCATTCTGCCTTGTATCCAGTAGATGTTATTTGACTGAAGAGAAACACTTTACCTGTGACATTTCTCTTTCCAGGGCTTAGCATACCTTCTTAAGCTTTAAATGTATGTTGAGAAACCCGACAAAATCCTTTGTGGTCTCTGCAAAGCCTTATGGGCTAAGTGGGATGAAAATGGTAGAGAATCAGCATAACAACAAAATTGTAAACCATTAATAGCAGCAAAGATCAGAGCTTAAGCATTACCAGCAAAAGGGAAGAAAAATACTTGCATATTGAAAACATTAAGGACACAGAGAATTTTGTTGAATTTTCCTTAAAGGTAGACAAGTTTTAGTAGATTTTTTCCTTTCAAAAAAATTAAACATATTGGAACATAAAATACTTAATCTTAAGAGACATGGAAATGTAAGGGGAAAAAAAGCTGTAGGGAGGAAAATGTGAGGGAAAGTTAATAAATATGTATTTTAACATATTTAGTATTAACACAGGTCTGTGCAACAGAAAAAGCAGTTAAAATCAACAGGGAGTTATTTTACTTTAAAACCCTGTGTCACATTTTAAATAGCAACGTATTTATGGTTAAAAATACAACTTAGCAGAAATTAAAGAAGTGACACAGATTATTCTGTTAGAGATCACATCTTAAATCTTTTACCTACCTTGAGCTTTAAATTTTAAATCAGACACAGTGGGAAGATTACTAAAGCAACATCGGGTGTTTGGCCTTGCCTCTAAGGACGGTACTCCCCAAGTGGGAGGAGTTGTTGGATATTCCACATATCCTCAATTACATGAATCATTCCTACAATGGCAATTAATACTACTACTAAGAAACAGTGCAGAAGCCAGCTCTTTATTTGTTTTTTTATGAATTACTTTAAACCAGGTTTGTTAAAACAGTTGAGTGTAGCTGACAGTGAATGTCTAACAGGAATGCATAGCAGACCATGTTAGAAATGTGGCATTGTCGCAAAGTACAGTAGGACTAAGACACCCTGCATTTAGCAGCACCTTTTTGTAACACTTACATGAGCAGTAGAGAAAGGGCATAGAAAGACTGAAATGGGTCTGACAGAAACATACAGCTGTTAAACACATGGCTAGCATTTTCTAGGATGACTAAAAAAATGATGATTCTACAACTGAGTAGGTTACGATTGAGCCTTTGCTGTGTGCAGACTATACTTTTACATTCCACAAGTCAGTGAATCCCATCGTCCTTGGGACTTTTTCTTCATTTACCAATTCATTACACAGTTTACACATAGGCTTACTCTACAGATTTGATGTATGGATGCCAAACCCTTCAGTATAATTTTTGGAGGAATACTGAAACATTCCAAAGTCACTCACTGGGATGAAAACCAGAGAGGGTCAGACTGGTAATCAGCCACATTTAGCTATGATGAAAGTTGAGCAGAAATATTGTATACATGTAATTGAAATATGGTTTCCCATCGCTGTGAGGATTTTGTCAAAAAGTTATATATTCGGACCACTTTCATATTTATTGAGTTTGATGTAAACAGTATAGAGCTAATTAACAAGTAAATTGCTTCTACGGGAAGTTTTTTGTATGTTAGCTGAGAAAATACTATACATGTAACTGATTTTTAAAACCGACTTTTCTTTAGGTATGGTAAGTAGGGAGTTAAAACACTTTAAACTTACACAAGTCTAACAATATTTGGCAATAACTTGGATTATGCAAGGAAGCAAAACAAAATAAAATTAGTATTTTGTTGAATTAGCTAATGTACAAATCTGAATTTACAGATAGGCATTTTCCTGGGATAAACTCACTTAATACTGTCTTACCTGTCCAGTCGTGACTGGACAAAATATACACTTAAAGAGACAGAGAAAAAGCTGTAGCATTAACACGGCAACAACATTGGAAGCTTCTTAACAGCATTGTCATGGGGCAGAGAGATAGTGTCTTCAAGGTGCCCCTTCAGGTAGGAAAATGTTCTCAACATTTTATTCATTGCAGGTCCCCCCCATTTTACCCTGATTACTTCTGAAGAGCAGAAACTTTGGTTGTAAGAAGCACTTCTGGGTACTGACAGTGAGACTGTGGGAGCTGGTGGTGGGGAAGAACGGTGGGTGAGCTTGGAGAGAAACACCGGGAACAGTAAGTAGGCAAGCTTAGAAAAGGAAGTGGGAGAAGTCATAAAAATTTATTTTCCCACGAAATAATTCCACAAGCTGTGTAAACGTTTCTTACTAAAACAAATACTCTAACACACAACGATTGTACATTTCCAGTGAAACACTCACAGTAAAAGTTGCCTGTATTTTTACTCTCTAGGAGCAAAAACAAGGAGCCAGCAGATGAATGCTTTCCTAGTTACCTTTGGCAGCAAGCGTCCTCACATTCCCTGACTGCTCAATGGATTCTAAAGCGACACGGAGCACAAGCAGACACAAAGCCAGGTGGGCAGCATTCTCCATACCAGTCTCTAGTTTCGTCCTCGGTCTCAGGCACGCACTCACACACAGACACACACACGGGACACAGCGGGTTCCGGCTCAGATCCTCCAGTGCAGTGACTACAGCAGACACCAGCTACTCAGAATGTGTTCGTCACAATCCGTGTTAACTGTACGGAGTAGAACAACCTCTGGAGTTTGGTTACATTTACCATAATTTATGGTGAAAGTTATAAACTTACAAGGATGGTATAACATTCAGAAATCAAACCTTTTCAAGTCAAGCAATCACACATATTTACAGTATGTACAGGCTTTCTAGTAAGAATGAGGATCGTGTGTAGACAATGTTATTACAAATTTCCTGAATGTGGGCATTTCTAGTCCCTGTAATTCATAAAGCAAATCTGCTGACTTGGCATTAAGACTCTAAAATAGTGTGATCAAACTGATTTATATATATTATATATATAATTATAATAAGGTGTCTGCAGAAATAACATTTACAAACTGTCTATACAGTACACAGTACTAGTACATAGAAAATAGATTCTAACTTTATGATCCCCTTTGTGTAAGGCAAGACTGACTCTGTCTCCAAATTTAGTCAGCCAGAGGTACAAGCACGAAACAGTGGTCCATGAATGAATGAATATGCAAATAAGGTGCCTGCATATTAAGAATCTGGAGAAACAAACTCCACTTTCTATCTGTGCTGATTCTGGCTTGCTGGATACACTACATTTCTTAAAACACTAGTTATCACCTGGATGGCAACAGCTTTTGTTCAAGTGGCAGCTACCCGAGACAGTTTGTGAAGAGTCCAGTATAGAACCGGAGGACTGCAGCCGTACCAGGCCGATGGATACAGCACTTACAAAACAAAGTCTGTGAATTCTCTATTTCATGCTATTGCTATTCAAGCAACAGCAATACAAAATATTACAAGACAGATCACATATGATTGCAATAGAGACCCCAAAGCGTTTGTTTGAGGGTGCTGTTATACAAGACTTTCCAAAAAAAAACACACACACACACAAAAGGGCAGAAGTCATTGGCGGATGTAGACATCCCTGTTCCACTCCCCGGCCTCATTCCGTTTTTTGGATATGACGTCTCCATCCTTGTCACAGTAGCGATCCTTGGATTTATGACGGCTTCGCTGCCTGTTGCACTCGTTGTGGTCTTGCTCTCGGTCTGTGTCCCTGGAACGGTGCCGCGGCTCCCTGTGTCTATGGTCACTGCTCCCATGGGTGTCATCTCTGTGGTTATGGTCACGGTGTGTGGCATAGTGGTCCACGTGTTCATGGGAATAGTCTTCCTTGGGTTCCACATAGGCAGAGTCTCGACTCTCCTGGGTCTCAGAATCAAATGTTTCTTGCCTGGAGAGGCCTCGGCTTGTCCCACTGCGATGGTTGTGGTGGGGGGCAGAGGAGGAAGAACGGTGCTGGGATTTCTTGACAGGTTCCGGGCAGGGTTCTTCTTCTCCTTGAGAAGCAGAGCGGACAGGAGCAGAGCGATCGGTCTTCTGTTCACCTTGAGAACCCTGCCAAGGAGGGGAGCACATGGGCGTTAACCAAGGTCAGTGTGTAAGGAACTAGCACACTCTTTCTCTGAAATGTTGAAATGAATTCTAACCTCTCTCAGTTCCTGTGATTGTGTCCAGTGGCATTGGTAAGGTTTGTACTGTCTATTGATTTGTAAGTGCCTAGAGCAGTGCACATAGAAATTAAAAAACAAACCCACAAAGAAGCAGCATTTTGTATATTCTTTTGTGGTTAAATACACATGCAGGTCCCCAAGAGTTTTTGGCAGATGGATGGAACCTTAACTACCTCAGCTTAAGTAAATGTGGGAGGATTAAGAAAAAGAACCCAAAATAATTAAAAATGCTTCAATCACAATATGGGATAGGCACTGTTCTACAGCCTTCCTCTATAATTAATCTGCCAGCCCTATGAGATAAGGTCAACTCATGACAAAAGACAGGAGGTAAATCAGTTAATTATAAGAGATAGTCCACCCTCATTATTCCTGAGTTACGAGCAGTTGGGGAACTTGAAGGGTGAAAATTCAGTTGGAGGCAGAGCCAGGACTGGAATCCAGGTAGTCTGCTTCCATAGCCCGTGCTATTGACTTGACTGGCCCTGTATTGTTCACAGTGCTTTTCTAACAGGTTAACAGCTTATGCTGGACTTGGTTAAATGGTTTGTAATGTTGGCCTAAGGCAGCGGTTCTCAACCTGTGGGTCGTGACCCCTTTGTTCAACCCTTTCACAGGGGTCACCTCAATACATGCTGCATATCAAATGTTGACATTATGATTTAGAACAGCAGCAAAATTACAGTTAAGAAGTAGTAATGGGCTCAGCGCCTGTGGCTCAAGCGGCTAAGGCACCAGCCACATACACCTAAGGTGGCGGGTTCGAATCCCCAGCCCGGGCCCGCCAAACAACGATGGCTGCAACCAAAAAATGGCCAGGCGTTGTGGCAGGCGCCTGTGGTCCCAGCTACTGGGGAGGCTGAGGCAGGAGACTCGCTTGAGCCCAGGAGTTGGAGGTTGCTGTGAGCTGTAATGCCATGGCACTCTACCCACGGGGACAGCTTGAGGCTCCATCTCAAAAAAAAAAAAAAAAAAAGAAGTAGTAATGAAACTAACTTTATGGTTGGGGGTCACAGCCTTAGGAAGGTTGAGAACCACTGGTCTAGGGGTAGAGTTAGTGTAGGGGGAATAAGCCCCATGCTGGCTTTCTGGGGTTGGAGCTCAGTGGTCTTCCTTTAAGCAGCCTAGGTTCTCTTTGAAGACTGTTTAAAAAAAAAAAATCCTCTTACCTGTGAATTAGGGGCCAGGGTTGGGCTAAGAGGCAGAGTGGAAGTGGCTAAAGTCCGGCTGAGGAGAGGGTTGGGGAGATTGGTGCTGGGAGGGTGGGTGGCCTTCCAGTAGGCCTCCAGGTAATCGGCCAGGTGCTCACAAGCATCCTCAAGCTGGTTCTCATCCAGGATCACATCAAACAGCTCCTGCAGGGGCAGACATTTCAGACAGCACAGTTATGCCAGCCTAGGACTGAGTTCCCGCCTCCTTCCCCAAATCCCAAAAAGGACGGAGAGAAGGGCAGAGGAGCTGGCCCCCTAGCTACTGTATCTGCTCGGGGTCACCTGCTCCTGCCTGTCTCTGTATTTCAGACACTGAATGCATAACCAGTCACAACCCCTGGAAAGTGAACAGGCTTCATAATAGACAACTTTTCTGTGCTGTCTCACTCTTAACAGTGAAAAAGATACCAAAAAAATTTTTGGACCCATGATCTTGTGTTAGATATTAACAAATGAAATCACCATGGGATCCTTCATTTCTCTGGAACAAATACCCCTTGAAGTAATTAGGAGTCTCTTCCCTGACAGGTGTTTGACCATCTGTTTTTTGTTTGCTTATCTGTAAAAATACAATGCTGGGTCTGATCTTTTCAACTGGATTATGCCCTATATAGAGAGAGAACTTACTGGAGGACATTGAGCCAATTTATCAGCTGCTACCATCTGGACATTGAGGTGTTTCGCTTGCGATTTCCCTCGAGATTTTATTAACCTTTGTAATACCTGTAAAAGATAGGAATTTTTAACAGGAATATCTTTACTTATACAAACTAGAAGGCACAATGCTGATTCCTTCCTCTGGGGTCTTTTTATACATGCCTATAGGACCTTTTTATATATACAATAAAGACTTATAATAGAGCTAGAAAATACATGGTATAAGGTCATCTGCAAAATGAACATGTGGACATAAATCTCAGTGTAAGCTTTGAGGACAGCATGGAGCTTTTTTTTTTTTTTGCTACATGTAGACTAGTAGTTCAGATATTTTGTCTCAAAACCTTTCAAGGTTTTAAAAAATTGTTGAGAATCCCAAAGAATTTTTATTTAAATACTTACTATATTAACATTAAAAATTTAAATACTTAATATAGTAACATTAAAAATTAAAACTAGAAAGTCTAACAACATTAATGTAAAAGTAATAAATGTGTTATATGTTAACATAACTTATTATAAAAATAGGTGCCTGTTTTTCTTCTTTTACAAACCTCTCTAATGCCTGGCTTCACAGAAGACTCAGGAGGTCTGCCTGCTTCTCTATTCAATCTTCTCCATTCAGTCTACTACAGTGTATTATTTTGTTTGAAATATTCAAACAAAATCCAACCTCCTACAGATGTTATTGAGAAAAGGAGGCATACTTTAGCCTTCCCAGATAATTGTGGATGTTCCTCTTTGATACCAAAACTCAACAAGTGGTGATTTTTTTAAAGACTAGTTGGCACGTGGCATCTGAAAACATAATCAGTGAAGTAACTCAATACCTTGAAATTAACATTATTCATTAACCTCAAAAATATTGGTTCCCTGAGTTCTTTTACTAGTAACACATACTGTTAGATGTTCTCCTTGAAGTGATAGGTTCAATTTTTTTTTTTTTTTTTTTGTGAAGACTCAGGGTCTTGCTGACTGGCTACTGCAGGGCGTGCTGTGTTAACATATCATCAGCTCAGGGGAAAGGTCCGAGTTGTCCACTCAGCCTGGTGCAGCAACAGCACATAGAGCTCAGTCAGCGCTGATGGTCAAGGACACGATTTGAGGGTCCCCATAGACCTTGGGCAGGTAGGAGGCACTTGAGACCATGGCCTCCATGATCAATAAACATCACTGTCCTTGAACCAACAACAACAAAAAAAGACTCAGGGTCTTGTTCTATTGCTCAGGCTGGGGTGCAGTGGGGGGATCATAGCTCACTGTAAACTCCAGTTGCTGGGCCCAAACAATCCTTCTGTGTCAGCCTCTCCAGTAAGCTGGGACTACAAGTATATGCCATTATACCGAGGCAATTTATTTTTTTAGAGACAGTCTCACTTTGTCACCCTCGGTAGAATGCTGTGGCATCACAGCTCACAACAACCTCCAGCTCTAGGGCTTAGGTGATTCTCTCACCTCAGGTGCCCAGCTATTTTTCTATTGCAGTTTGGCTGGGGCTGGTGCCCTACTCACTGAGCCACAGGCACTGCCCAAACCCAGGCAATTTAAAAACAATTTTTTGTTGTTGTTGTAGAGGGCAGATCTCACTACATTACTGAGGTTGGTCTTAAACTCCTGACCTCATACAATTCTCCTGTCTTGGCCTCTCAAAGTGTGAGGATTACAGGCATGAACCACCGGCAGGCTCTCTTTGTTCAATAAAATGAGTAAGAATAGCCTGTCAGTTCTGTGAGATAAAAATGGTGTTCCATGAAAAAGTGGTTAGTTTATATCTCAAATAATCACATCAGTGCTTGTCCTTCAAAGATGACTTATTTTGGTATGTACTCCCTATTTCATGAGACAGAATACTCATGAAAAGACTCATACTAAAGAGTCAAAATTTAATAAACTAAATGTCAATTCATCAGAATTTCTTATGTGACACTGCCTTTTTCTACCTTAAACAGCGCGAACATGGTAATGATGATTTTTAATACCAGTCTTGATTCATGCTTAGTTTCCAGCAGTTTTATCTGCCACTGCATTTGATCTTTCATACAAATGTCACAACAGTGAAAAAGGTGAATAATGTCTTAGTACTACCCTAGAAGTAGTCTGGACTTCATGGGCTCTCTGAAAGTGTCTCAGAACTCTGTTAAAAATTGTTGATGAACAAATCTCTTCATAGTCTGTACATTTCATCATGTAAGCTGTTACTATTAAGAGCATAAAATTCATTTTAGTAAGGTTTGATTATAGAGCAAAGAATAGCAGCCTTGCTTACCTTAGGAGAGGAAATCTTCACATATACTATAATAGGGGCCAAAGAGGTCTTACTCAGTTGAGCTGGATGATTGATAGTGTCGGCATCAAGAACCACCAATTGCAGCGTTCTTGCAAGTTCAAAAATTCTTTCAATTTCACTCTGAACTTCCGCTGTAAAATGTCAAACAGGGTTCAATTAGTCAAAGTACAGTATTTAAGGGACAGAAAAAGGGTACACTGTTCCTTCAGCAGGAAGGTAGGTAGGTAGGTCAACCATTAAGTTAATATTTTTTTTTTTT